CAGGCTGTTCTCACGCCTGGTGAGGATAGCCACTTCCTTTATTTTAACCGAGTGCTGCCAATCCAATTCATTTAATTCAGTCTGGGCTGGCCAGATTCTCCTTCATGGATGGAGCTAAAGTTACCTCTAATTATTATCTTGGTACAGTTCAACCGAATTTGACAAAATTCGATTGTGACCTTCAAAATCAAAAGTATTTGTTTTCTTCATGTTCGTGAGTCAAATCCAGTCGAACTGTGCCAAAAATGGTAGCTTTTGCCTCTCCACGAAAGAAGATATGGCTCACCCCGACTCAGCTTAGGGAGTAGGCCTACAGGTATATAACACCCTATCAGAATGACTGAGATACTCGATTAAAAATTCTCCCAACAAGGGAATTAAACCAATGTCTTCTGCGTGCAACAGCGAGGCGACTAACGGCAGAACATCCGAGCCGCGTACTGTTGAGAGAAAAAAAAACACTATAAAAACCACGCACTATCAGAGCCTCGCACTTTCTGACGATATCGATAAATTAGATTGTCGATTACCATAACATATTGCCCAACAATTTAAGGGTTTGGGACCAACATCAATTATATTTTGTATTGAAAGGATAGGCTTTTCAGGTATAGAAATATATCTGCGGGACAGGGGCGATCTTTAAAGTGTTGGGGCAGCATTTTCTTGCTCAATAAGGATTTTAAAAACCTGAAGTTGTGAGACTTGTCCATCTGCATACATTTGCTTGTTAACATTCGCCTTTCCTCATTCTTGGTAGTGCCTTTGCGTTTGGTCTGTGCTTTTAGTTTCAGCATGGTCTAAAAGTCGCTTTTAAACGTCTCCAGAAAGACGAATTTGGATGGGACTGTACAAAGGGACTGTAACCGCTGGATGGAATGGGCAATCTAATTGTATCGATATCGCGAAAAAGTGTACAGCTCTGGTAGCTTTTCGACTAAGGGGACGAAAGGGAGGGGGCATGAATCAATGTAATATTACACTTTTGTGAGGAGAAAAAATTACAAGGAAAAAAAATTATGTCTACGTAATTGTTTTTTAAATAACACATAAAAAGAGAGTTAACTATTCACTTAGAGCGGTAAGCACGGCACATTATTATTATTATTATTAAGCGAACATTGTAATATTACGGGATGGTTAGGTCGGAGGGGGGGG